GGAGGAACACTGCAGGTCAGGGTGGGGCTGGGGGAGGGGAGGTGGGCTCTCCTCCCTCTCACCTCCTTGACCTGATACAACTTGTCCATCTTCTCTCCCACCTATCTGCCCCACCCTTCCCACCGACCAGTCCCCACTACCCTCTACCTGCATCCACTTATTACCATCCCACCTACATTCCCCAGCCCCACCTCTCCTCTCTCTATTTATTTCTCAGCTCCCTTCCCCCTCCCCTTTTCTGAAGAAGTGTCCCGACCCGAAACGTCAGCTTTCCTGTTCCTCTGATGCTACCTGACCTGCTGTGTTCCTCCAGCTCCACACTGTGACTCCAGCGTCTGCAGTTCTTGCTATCTTAGAAAAAGGCTGAGGGGTGATTTAATACACACCTTCAAAATTATTACCAGATAAACATGGAAGTGTCCTGGATCCAGCAGTAGGAGTCACTAATACAAGATAGTCATTAATAAATTCTTTAGAGAATGTAGTGTATTGGCAATGTCACAGTAACCAGAGCCCGAAGCTAATGTTCAGATGCGCAAATCCTATGGCACATGGTGAAATGTGAAATGAATAAATATTTGAAATCAAAAGTTAACCTAATGATAACCATGTAACCACTCCTAACTGCTCTAAGTACCCATCAAGCTCATTGACACCCTGCTCTGGCCTATATGTGACTCCAGACCCACAGCGATGTGGTCGATTCCTAACAGCTTTCTGAGCAATTAGGGATGAATAATAAATGTTGGCTCTGGTCAGACATGCAAACATCCCATGAATGATTTTTTTTAAAGTATCAAGAGAAACTATTCTGTATGCAGAGTGGCAAGTTTGTGGAACTCACATCCTGGCACATCCTGTTAGTAAGAGGAAGCTTAAATCATATAATCCCTACAGTGTGGAAGGAGGTCATTCGGCCCATTTAATCTTTACCAACCCTCCAAAGATCATCCCACCTAGACCCCCACCTTATCCCATAACTCTGTATTTCCCATGGCTAATTCACCTAGTCCACACATCCCTGGACACTATGGGCAATTCCCATGGCCAATCCACCTAACCTGCACATCTTTGGACTGTGGGAGGAAACCAGAGCACCCGGAGGAAACCCACACAGACACGGGGAGAATGTGCAAACTCCACACAGTTGCCCAAGGCTGGAATCAAACCCAGGTCCCTGGCACTGTGAAGCAGCAGTGCTAACCATTAAGCCACTATACCACACACAGGATGAAGGACAAAGGAAGAGAAGGATACAGGAAGTATCAATCAGAGCAGAAAACAAAAAGAGCCCAGTAAGTACAAAGATAGAATAAAAGACGCAGGAAATACAGCACATCAAACTGTCTATACTTCTACTCCAGTCTCTTCCCACCTTTCCTCATTTAAATCTACAATTGTAACCCTCTATCCCTTTCTCCCTCATTTATAGTGTCATAGAGTCATACAGCACAGAAATAGACCCTTCGGTCCAACCAGTCCATGCCAACCATGTTCCCAAACTGAACTAGTCCCATCTGCCTGTGCTTGGTCCATATCCCTCCAAAACTTTCTTATTACCTAAGTGTCTTTTAAGTGTTGTAACTGTACCTGCATCCACCAATTCCTCAGGAAGTTCATCCACATGCAGGCTACTCTGCTAAAAACTTTTGCCCATGTCCTTTTTAAAACTTTCTCCTCCCACCTAAAAAAGTGTGCCCCTTAGTTTTGAACTCTCCCAACATAGGGAAAAGACCCTTGTCATTCACCTGACCTATACCCCTCACAATTTTATAAACTTCAATAAGGTCACCCCTCAGTCTCCTACAATCCAGTGGAAAAAGTCCCAGCTTTTACAGCCTATTTTTATATCTCAAACCCTCCATTCTCAGCAACATCCTGGTAAATCTTTTCTGATCCCTATCCAGTTTAAAATGTTCCTATTTGTTGACTAGCTTAGCTTCTAATGCATTGATACAAACTAACTTTAAACACTCCCTGTGGTAGCAAGCTCCATATTCTCACCACTACTTCGCAGGGTAGGAAGGGTGAGCGAGGAATGTCAAAACATTAAACAAGAAAATCAAAACAACAATAGACAACATTCCAAAGCAGATGCAGGTAGGATTGAGAGGTGTTTGTGTGTGTGAATCCACATAGTCTCAAAGAAACATTTACTGAGAATTGGGGTTCACAAGGAAAAGTGGGAGGCAAAATATTTGGGAAAACATTCAAGGAATGGGAGTACAACCTCAATGGAAAGACACTAGAATGGTGTTAACATTGAAATACAACACTCCATGAAAGTGCAAGAAGACAGGGTGATAATAGGAGCTAACAGCATTTTAAATTTCAAAAATAGGAGCAAAGAGTTAATGAAGTAAAGTTGCAATAATTTCCTGCTTCCAAGACATCTGTGTATGTACTGCCTGCACCATTCCAGACAGGACATTAAAGTCATGGATAGAGTGCAATATAGATTTACCAAGGTGATACGAAGGATGAGAAACTATAGTACTATGGATGGACCCAAGACACTGCGATGCGTTCCACTGGAGCATTGTAGGCAAAATGAAGACTTAATTGATGATTTAGGATTATGAAAGGCTTCAATAGCACAGGTAGGAGGAGATAGGTTCCCAATTTTCCATCTTTAATGAGCCAATGGGTTTTATACTACAATTAATTGGCTTCATGGTCACTTCAACTCATACCAATATTTTAATCTCCTAATTCTTGAAACAGATTTCAAATGCTCAAACAGGAATGGTAGGAGGTGAACTCCAAACCTCTAGGCCAGTCACACAACCATTACATTACCATTAGCCTTAATCTGGTATCCATGTTACCAATGCTAACTGTGGTTTTCAGAGTGAACTGGGGGAGAGTTATATGTTTGGCTGACTCCCTGCATATTTTGCTCACACAATGTTTGGCAGCTCCACAGGGACAGATTGGAAAGTGTGGACAGTCTGACTCACATTGGGGGTGGACTGGTGCAATTGGAGGAGGAGTTCAGACAGTTTATTCACGCACAATCAAAGCAGATGCTAACAAAATAATTCCATCTGCTTGCACAATATGCCTTGTAATGGATGTTTACAAATATACAGTGAACTTACCATGAACCAAGATTATAATCAGAATCTCTAGGGTTTATACAGACAGGAGTCTGCCCTTCAGTTCCAGGACCCAGTACTGCCTTTCAATTAGATCATGACTGACCTAATTGCAGTTATGGATCAGCTTCATATTAAACATTTCTTTGAGGATTTGAGTTTGAAGATTTGTGGAAAAGTGGATCTTCTTCAAGTTAAATGTGCATGATCTGGATTAGCTTTGACAAAAAGAAGTTTCTGAGACACTGAAAACATTTTTTTAAAAATAAGGCTTTTTGGAAGTCATGTGAATTTATCAGCGTCCCTTCACTGTCGCTGGGTCAGAATCCTAGAATTCCCTCCCTGCTGGCATTGTGGGTCGACCCACAGCAGGTGGACTGCAGCAGTTCAAGAGGACAGCTAAAGGGCAGCTAGGGATGGGCAAGAAATGCTGGTCAGCCAATGACACCCACATCCAACAAATGAATTTTAAAAAATTTAGATAACTTGGACAGATACATAAATAGGAAAAATTTAGAGGGATATGGGCCAAACACAGTAAAATGGGACTAGTTCGGGTTTGGAAACCTGGTTTGCATGGACTAGTTAGACCGAAGGGCCTGTTTCCATGCTGTAGGACTGTATAACTGTATGGACTCATTTCCCAGAGGTCATTTGAGTTGGTTTTATGTCTGTCTTGTTTGAACAACATGTGCTTTGCAGAGTTGTTTTGGTTTGGATGCTCAGTTAAGGAGCACCTGCTAAAAAAAGGGGCTGCCCAGCTTATTTCTCCTGTTTGCTTGAAATATCTTTGCTGAGATTAAGGTAAAACCTGGTTTCTCTTCTGGAAGAGTGACGGAAAGAACTTTACAATATGATACTTCCTGAGCAAGCTGTGTTGCCAAGACCTCAAAGACAGCTGCATGTGAAGAGAGACTTCACAGATTCACAGAAGTGTGACAGTGCTGGAGGCCACCATTCAGCCCATCATGCCTATACTGGCTCAATCAATTAGCATCATCCCCTAATGCTAATCTGCTGCTTTTTCCCCACATCCTAATAATCCAACAGCTGCTTAAAATGCCTCAATTGAATCTACCTCCACAACACTCCCAGGCAGAGCATTTCATACCCTAACTACTCGCTTCACCCATGTTTCTTTTGCAGATCACTTTAAATCTATGCCCTCTTGTTCTAGTTCTTTTAACAAGTGGAACAGTTTCTCTTTATCGTCTCCATGCAGCCCACTCATAAACTTGACCACACATGCAATGATGCCAAATCAATAGACTTAGGAACATTCTATGTCTCATCCATTTGGCCTTTAAGAATAACCATCATTAAGGATGTAACGAGCAAGTTAGATAAAGGACAGACAGTGGACCTGATTTATTTGGATTTCCAGAAGGCCTTTGACAAGGTGCCACACAGGAGATTGCTAAATCGGATAAGAGCCCATGGTGTTAGGGGCAAAGTACTCACATGGATAGAGCATTGGCTGCCTGGCAGGAGGCAGAGAGTGGGGATAGCAAGAGTGTAAACAGTGGGTTCTAGGAAAAAGTGTGTGTGTAAAATTGTGTACCATTGGAAAGTAGGTGTGTAAGTGTGTACTGGTGGAAAATGAGTGTGTGACAGTGTGATCCAGGGCAAAATGAGTGCGTAACAGTGTGTAATAGTGTATTCCAGGGGAAAGCAAGTTTGGAACAGCATGTCCGAACAGTAAGTGAATGCATAACAGCGTGTTCTAGTGGTGCTGGTCATTTTTCCTGGAATTCCCAAGTAGCTGACTTTCTTGTACATTGCAGTGTGTCTTAGTAATTAGTGCTCCTGCACCTTCCAGGTAACTGTCATACCTGTCTATCATAATATTTCTAGGCAGATGATGTACTTGCACGTCAAAATAGTTCCACAGAGCTGACGTACCTGTACGTCACGGTACGACAGCAGTAGGTTCATTACAATGTCAGCGCTCAGGAGCTCCACACTGTCCAGCTGCTGTTGGATTCGTGCAAGTGCTTCTCGTAGCTCCTTTCCACTGTACATCTCTCTCGCTTTGCGGATTTCATTACGAATACTTTCCCGGAAATATTCACTGCAAAACAGGAAAAGTAAAAAGCCCTCGGTCGGTAAAGGCAGAAAGCCACACCATTCTCACTAATCCAATGTTAGTGAAACACATTTCAGCTTCTTCAAAACTGTCTGCTGATCAAAAACAGAGAGTGCCAGAGAAACTCAGCAGGTCCGTGGAGAGAGAAACAGAGTCACTGTTTTGAATCCAGTGACTTTTCTTAGTGCATTTATTTCAATGGCCATTGATCAATCATACCCGCTAGAATCAAGGACACAAGACAATGTTCCAATACCCACCCTTTTCAATGGATTGTTTAGGGCTGTAAAGCTTGAGAGCACAGGGTCGAAATATCACTGAGTCTGAGAATCCTTCAGAAATGCCTGGAGCAGTTTTGTCATAATTCATGGATGGCGTTTTTTGTGTGCTTATTCACACTCACCTGTCCTAAAGTTACTGTCCCATTCTGAGGCACTATTCCACAAACATTATTGCCCTCTGTATCTTCCTCAATTGCCCCTATTTCACATTGAAAATCTCCCTGCCGGTTAGTGCAGGGAGAGATAATAAATACAACTTGGGCAGCTTGTTTAATCGGACTAGAGTTTAAATGTAATGTCAAGTTGAAGTATAGAACCTTACCCCATGGAAAGAAGCCATTTTGTCCATTGCGTCTGCTGGCTCTTTGAGAAAGCTATCCATTCATTTCCACTGCCCTGCTCTTGCCCCAAAGTGCTGTAAAACATTTCCCATCCTATTTCCCGATTGATATTTACACTGGATTTGGTTCCATTGCCAATTTAGGTTGTAGAAGAAAGATTTTTAAGGGGAGGTGATGGCCTAGTGGTATTAATACTGGATTGTTAATCCAGAGATTCAGGTCATGTTCTGGGGGCCCAGCTCCAAATCCCACCATGGCAGATGGTGGAATTGAAAGTCTAATGATTGTCAACTGTCAGACAAACCCATTTGGTTCACTAATACTCTTTAGGGAAGGAAACTGCCATCCTTACCTAGTCTGGACTACACATGACTCCAGGTCCACAGGAATGTGGTTGACAGTTGACTGCCCTCTGGGCAGTAAATGCTGGCTTAGCCAGTGACGCCCACATCCCGTGAATGAATAAAAAATAATTCCTGACCATCATAACCTGTTGTGTCAAAAAGCTCACAAGCTTCACTCTAGAAGGAGAAGCAAGCAAAGCTTGAAAATGGCACACACTGCTCTGACTCATCCTGCGTACCTGGAAATGGAACGCCACCACTTCAACTCACAGTTTTACTGGTTTTTGTTTTCACTTTTCTTTTCCCTAGCCAAATCTGTGCCTTCTGGCATTTGGCACTCCTGCCAGCGGAAGCGGATTTTTCTACAAAGAATTACCAATGTGTTGACTCACTTACCCATTCCCTGGCCAAAGACTCATGGGTACAATGTGGAGAGGAGCAGTGATGTCCCCATCAGCAAGGCAGCATCACTGAACTTGAGAAATCCCAGTCACTCCCAAGATCTCAATTAGAAAGTGGAACTCTGGATTAACTTGAGTTAACGCAGGAACTATGGTCACAGTGTTGAACTGAAGAACAGAAAAATGAAGGAGACTGCTACATGCACCTTTCCCTTTCTGGCTTTTATACAGTCATTTCTTCCTCCCAGCCTTGCATCGGATGGACACCTGATACCAGAGATCAGTCGTCCTCCTTGCTCCACCTCTGCTCTTGCAGGAGGAGCTGAACAAATGAGTTAAGAGTATGGGGCAGCAAAGAGACAATGGGAACTACCTCCAACTGAGCAGACCCAGTGAACTCTGTCCAATGCTGAAGAATTTGGAGGAATGTGATCAGGCAGTCACTTATTGCCTGCTCCTGAGGCATCAATGAGACAATCATTCCACTTCTTAGTCAGTCCACACCATGGCAAAAGTTCATTTCAGGGAGGTTACTGCAGTAAACCAACCCTAATATCATCTGTTCACCTTACTCCCACTGTTCAGTAATGATTAATATTAATCATTAATTTCACCAATAGATCACTTATTACCTAAAGCTTTTAATGGTGATGAAGGATTTTTGATTTATTGCAATAGAATCCTTCTCCGATCATTCTGACCAATCACACCACACCAATCCCAAGAGACTCTGGGGTTTGTTCTATGCTCACATCTATGCTGAGGGTGTGATCACCTTGTTTGGATTAGAAAAGGAATTACAATCATTGATTTTCCAGTTCTTTGTGTTTTTGTCACTCAGTGGGAAAGCTCGGATCAAAACAGCAGGAAACCTGATACCTTTCCCCACCCCCCATAATATATTTTATTTGAGGGGGGGCATGTGGGTGTGCTAGATGATCTGTTTTAATGGTGATGCCTTTTTTTGTGCTTGATATGGCTTAAGAGAGACTGACTCTGAAGTGTTAGCAAGATTCATACATTCATACCACTAATCCACTGTTCAGCACTTGTCCCACATCCTTCAGTATTATGATATTTGAAGTGCTCATCCAAATATTTTTTAAAGGCAATAGGGTTTCTGGCCTCCTTCCCAGGCAGTGTATTCCAGATTCCCACCACCCTCTGACTGAAAAAGTTATTCTTTCCTCCAAAAGCCCTCTGAATCTCCCATCCCTTTCTCTAAAACTATGTCCCCTTGTGATTGACCCCTCAACCAAGGTGAACAGCTGCTCTCTATTCACCCTGTCCATACCCCTCACAATCCAGTACACTTCAATCATGTCCCACCCTCAGTCTTCTCCACTCCAAACAAAACAACCCAAGCTCATCCAGCCTTTCCCTACAACCCAACTTCTCCATCCCAGGCAACCTCCTCTACACCCCCATCCAGCGCCATCACATCCCCCCTGCTGTGAGGCGACCAGAACTGCACACAGCATTCCATAAAATCACCTCTCATTTAACATTTGATGAGGAATGGACAGTCTTAGCCTTTGAACAAGGTTCTACTCAGCGACATCTCTCTCCAGATTCTCCTCATCATGTGACCTCTTGCATCACTGCTGATGTGGCCAGTTATTTGCATATTTGAATATTAACTCTTTACTCCACAAATGGACTGGAATACATTAATGAGAGAATGAAAGAGACCCAAAACCAAATGCATCATCCTCACTTCAAACCCAAACACCACACCTCCCCTCCCCCTCCCCCCACTCAATACAGCTGAGATCTTCTCACCAAGAGTTGATCTGGGTCTCCTCCAGCAGTTTAGTCAGACGATCGACCAAGGGCATGAGGAGAGGCTCCAGGTTAAAGTGAGGTTGGAACATCTCGGTCAGGCACTTCATCATACTGGCTTCACAGCAGAAAACCTTACCACTGGTCGTCACGATGTATGGAATGAAGATGTAGTTCCCATAACACCCCTGGAGGAAAGAGAGACAGCCAATCACTTCAGCTCCTACACGAAGGCAAGATCTCAAAGTATCCTCACTGCCCACTCAGTGACACTCACACTGCCTTACATTTGATCATTCAAGCTGATTCCTTTCCAAAATGGTTTTGTCTTCTGCCAACTCTGCTGTAATTTATTTTTTGATTCTGCTGTAATTTATTTTTTGATTCTGTTCCGAAATCAAAGATGGGTTAATACTGAAAAGCATAGCCGACCCTGTGTCATTTTAGGCTCCATTCTGTCCCCTTCTTCGACCAGGATCACAATAGAGGTTGCCCACTCACTCTGAAGCAGGCTTTTACATAGTAACACAAGGCCATTCAGCCTGCTTCATTATTTGCTGCTGTAGCTCAGCCCAGGCCAGACCAGTTGACAACAGGACCCTTTCCCAGTGTGTGTGAGAGACAGGGGCCCAGTGACAGTGGGCTGGGCTTACCCAATATTGGCACATACTCCAGATCACAAGATTCAACAGGATTTAGGTAAAAATGTTGGGATTAGTACAATTAGGAAATAACACGCAAATCAACACTCTTCACTATATCTCAGTAGATCTGACAACAAGAAATCAAATTCAAAATCAAAAAAGCCCTTGCGGAAAGGAGATCCCAGCCACCAAAGGTGCGAGCACACAACAGTATGACCTTTTCTTCCGAGTATCATAATAACAGCAACGCCAAAGGAAATGGACACAAACAGCACCTCTGCAAGAAAAACGACACAAATACAGATTCCCGAAGAATACCATACCTTAAGGCACCAAGAACAAAAATGTCTTTGCAGACAGCAGTCCAGTCAAACGTATATTTTGATCAGCCAATGGCAAACATACTGGGCATTGCACCACATCTGATCAGAGTGGATTAGCCTCCAGGCACTGGATTTGGAAAGTGTCTCTGATGGGCGTTGAGCACCACAGCACAGGCAGTGATGGAGCAGGGTGAGTCACACACACAGATAGCTGGCTTCTTCAAATAAAGGCAGATGCGATGGGATCAGGGGCTGCACTGCACACTGCCACACTGAGCTGGATGCTAAAGACTGTAGCTATCAATCAGCTAGCAGCATCTCCACAATGGGCAGCAGGAAGCGGTTGGGACAGGTCCTGAGAACCCATGTGACATTTGGGCAGTGGACTTCATTGGTAACAGCACAGGAACTGAGGAAGGTAAAGACAGCTCAGCTGTGTTAGGGTGTGTAGGTGTGGAGTGGTCACCTCAGCTGGGAGGACCAGAGTCAGGAATACAGCCCAGTTACAGTCGGGGTAGCAGGAAGGCATCTCGCGACTCAGGAAGTGCCACGGAGATGGGAACCAAGGTATTTGCCAATATTACACCAGCTGCCATCGACACAGGTAATCACATAGTGCCAATGAGCCCTGAGGACTGGTGGTCAGTATGACAGACAACCAGATCACTAAGACCAACGAAGGTAAGAGTTAGTTATACTCCTGGTGGATTCCTTGGATTTCTGACCGCATGGCTGATCGATTTGGCAGACTTGTCTCACGAGCTTGATTGAGTTTTTTGAGGATGTAATTGAAAAGATTGATGAGGGCAGAGCGGTAGACGTTATAGAGTTGTACAGCACGGAAACAGACCCTTCGGTCCAAATCGTCCATGTTGACCAGATATCTGAAATTAATCCAGTCCCATTTGCCAGCATTTGGCCCCTATCCCTCTAAACCTTTCCTATTCATGTACCCATCCTGATGCTTTTTAAATGTTGTAATTGTACCAGTGTCCACCACTTGCTCTGGCAGTTCATTCCATACACACATTACCCTCTATGTGAAAGAAGTGCCTCTTAGGTCCCTTTTAAATCTTTCCCCTCTCACCTTAAACCTCTGCTCTCTGGTTGTGGACTCCCCTACCCTGGGAAAAAGACCTTGGCTATTCACCCTATCCATTCTCCTCAGTGTGACAGTGCAGTATGCATGAAGTAGCTCACTGCCTGACAGGACAGAAAGGCCAGGGGTAGCTGGTATGGGTCCTGGGGGAGCAGCTTGGTGAGCAGTGGATTAAACCCTAAGCTGGGGGAGAGCATCCCTCAAAGTGTACTCTACATCTGCTGGCAATGATGCAAATACTAAGTGGCATGCTCTCTTACAAATCAAATGAGCTGGCGTGCATTCTTGAGGATGTCAGCAGCAAATATGATGCCATCAACATCCAGACGGTCACTCCAGGATTATAAGGATCATGAGGTTAAGCCACAGTTATACAAAACCCTGGTTAGACCCCACTGAGACTACTGTGTGCAGGTCTGGGCACCACACCTCAGGAAGGATATATAGGTTACGAAGGGAGTACAGGAGGTACTTTGACTTCAGGGGTTAAATTACGAGCAGAGATTACACAAATTAGGCTTTCTCTAGAATTTAGAAGGTTAAGAGGTGATCTGATTGAAATCTTCATGATATTAACAGGAGAAGACAGGGGAGATAATTACTGTTCAGGAGCTATGTTAGGAATCACTTCTACACACAAAAGGTGGTAGATGTTTGGGACTCTCTTCAATCTGAGGTGGATAAATTTTTGATTAATTTTATTAATAAATTTTAGATTAATACCAGCAAAGGTATTAAGGGAAATGGAGTTGGGCCACATATCAGACATGATCCCCTTGATTGGTGGGACAGGCCTGAGGGGCCTAATGGCCTGCTCCTTTGCCTAAGGGCAAATAATCTGCTGGATCAGAACCAGGGAGATACCAGCCCCTTCTTGTCACCTCAGGGGGGGGGGGGGAGGGAGTGTTAAGGAAGGAACACCCCCTTGGTTGGTCTTCCTGATCTACTGCTGAAAGCCGCCCTTGTGTTGTTACTTCCGACCCCAGTCTCCCCACAATACAGATCACAACACAGAAAGTCACACAGATCCCCTGTCGCTCTGTGGTGTTGCTGTGCAGCTCAGACTCTGAAGCTATAGTTGCACCCACGATGGCTGCAGCCTCATCACTGGGGGCGGGGGAGGGGGGGTTGCCGGGGGGAGGGCTTCGTCAGCTATCCTGAGAGATGTTCACTAGGTGAACACTTGAAAACTGCTTGACATTTGATCAGGTGGGGTCTCTCATTGTGGCGTAAGGGACGGCGTGTCCCACTGGCACTGACACCCATTCCCGCACAATAACTTAGGGGAGGTGATGGCCTAGTTATTATTATCACTAATGTCCTTTAGGGAAGGAAAGTGCCATCCTCACCCGGTCTGGCCTACATGTGAATCCAGACCCACAGCAATGTGGTTAACTCTTGACTGCCCTCTGGGCAATTCGGGATGGGCAATAAATGCTGCCTCAGCCAGTGACGTCCTCATCCTGTGAATGAATAAAAATAACTGGCAAATGGAAAATCCCAGGCTATGGTTAATTTAGCAAGAACAACTGATGATGTGATAAAGAGTTATTGCCAGCAGCAAAAGTGTCTGTGGCATTGAAGTGAGTCAGTTGCTGCAGCACAGACCTGCAAACATGCCACTCGACCTAAGGCTTTTAAAACACTTCACATATTATTCCAACTACCTTAGATAACAAGGTGTAGAGCTGGATGAACACAGCAGGCCAAGCAGCATCAGAGGAGCAGGAAGGCTGACGTTTCGGGCCTAGACCCTTCTAGAGAAATGGCTCTGCAGTTCCTACTATCTCTCATTCCAACTACCTTGCTGTACATGCTACTAAGTGCCTATTGTACAAACTAGTTCCTGCACACAGTCTCACCTGCACCAAGTCTGTGTGCACCACTTCCTTCTCAAAGGAACAGAATGCTTCATCACCTGCCAACCAGTTCCTAAATCTTTCTCTGGCCAGCACCCACTGCAGCGTTGCTCCCGAGGTTTGAAGGGAAGGAGGTGTGTGTTTCACAGGCACAGTTAACACATAGGAGCATGCACAGATATCTTCAAGCCACTGCAGTCATGAATTTAGCTCGGCTTCACATCTGCTACTCACTCTTTCATCTCTGTCTTGTCTGAGGCATTGCAGCTTTCGACGAACCTATTCACAGCCACTCTAAACTCTCCCACTTCCTGCTCACTAGCTACTAAAATCCAGATATCCAAATTAGGATGGAAATATCTCTGTCTGTCTGTGTCTCTCTCTCTCTCTGTGTCCCACTATTTCACACACACCTCCAAATCAATCACACTCCCCAGTCCACACTCCCGCTATCCGCCAGAATTCACTCACCCACACTCTCCCCCACCTCACTTGCCTTCTGCCTACATCACTCACTCTCCCGGTCTCTGACCCACCTCACTCTCTCTCTCTAACCCAACTCACTCAGTCCCTCTCTCTCTTTCGGCCCACCCCTCTCTCTCTGCCCTACCTGCCACCCTGAACAAGACACAATCGAAGTGCAGTGTGGGATTCTCTTATTGCTGTCATGGCTGTGTTTGGGAATGACTGAAACCTCTGGTAAACAATCTTTGAGCATGTTGAATCTCGTCCATAATAAATAGTAGGTGCTGATCTCACAGCCTTTGAAGAGTACTGAAGTTTTAAAGGAGTTGCCAAAACAAAATCACACAATGTGTCAAGGAAGAGAACTCATTTAGTGCCCTATCCAAACTGTAGAGAACCTACATTCAACATGCTGCATTAATTCCAGAGTACAGCATCAAACATAATGATAAGGATGATTAAATGAGCTGATATCATCGGAATGGAACTGTAATCAGTACCTGCACCCTGTATAGATGCAATGCTGGAAAATCTGTGTCACATTCCACACTCTATCTTTCCGGCTCCCCAAGCTGCCTACCCTGCAATAGGGTAGTTGCTAAGCCTGTATCAGAACTAACCCGCTCCTGGGGCCCCATCAATGTCCATCTGTAGGTTCAGCAGGAGGGAGAGAGCAGGGTAGCTTTGCTTAGCCAGCCCTTTTATCCCAGGTAGGGAAGCACTTTGCACTCACCATACCCAATATCACCTCCAGACATTCGATTCTGCGTTCAACACATGTGGACTTCCCAGCTTTTCACTAACTAGAAGTTCAATGCATTCTCAAGAAACAGTAACAAGGAACAGCCATCTCAAAACTGCACTTATCCTTCCACATCCACCTTACTATGTGACAATCAGACACAGGTTAGATATCCACAGTGACCCAACAAACAATCCCAGGAGTGGGACAGCATGGAGCTAGATACAGAATAAAGCTCCCTCTACACTGTCACCCATCAAACAGTCCCAGGATAGGGACAGCACGGGGTTAGATACAGAGTAAAGCTCCCTCTAAACTACCCCGAGCAAACACTCCCAGGACAGGTATTCCACAAGGTTAGATTCAGAGTAAAGCTCCCTCACATCATCCCCTCCAAACACATGTAGGAAAGGGACAGCATGGGGTTAGACCCAGGGTAAAGCTAGTCCTAGGTATATTTTGTTCATTGTGTTCTTTCATCTCATTTGATATTACAGCTTTAACCAGCACACTCATTCTTAAAAGTCGCCTGAAAAACCTACCATATTTCTCTGACAAATGATATCCTGTAAACAAAACAGAAAATGATCAGAGTTTAAATTTAAAAACTGACTTCGAAGAAGTGTTCTTCAATTTTATTTTATCAAATAGAGTTAATTAGCCATAGGAGGAGCTATACAAGTATTGGACCGGGGGATAAAATGACCATCTCCTCATGTTGGTTACAGTGACAGGCAGGAATTGTGTGCTTATCACAGCAAGGTCTTAGTGAATGTGGGCTGAAATGGAGATGGACTCCCTTGTCCAGGGGGCATCAGTTATATTTCTCTCCAATGATAGGCTTTGTCTCAACTTCAAATTCAGATCTCTTTGCATTGTACATAATATGGTTCAAAACCTACCCCACAATCAATCATCAGGGTAACTCTTGTTGTAGAAGACATTTCAGTACTTCAAAGGGCAAATAATATCACTGGATAAGATCTGCCATCGGGGTATAAAGGACTGTTGCTGGGCGGAGCTAACCACTCCAGTGTAATGTATCAGTTCTCCCCAGTAGCCAGTAAAGAAAAAAATCCAAAGAACTGCAGATGCTGGAAATCAGAAATTACTGGAAAAGCTCAGCAGGTCTGGCAGCTTATGAGGAGAGAAATCAGAGTTAATGTTTTGGTTCCAGTGACCCTACATAAAGGAGAGTCACCGAACTCAAAATATTAACTCTGCTTTCTTTCCACAGATATTGGCAGACTTGCTGAGCTTTTCCAGCACTTTCTATTTTTGTTTCCAGTCTCCAGTGTGCACTTCAGTCATTGTTCTTAGTGTTAAAACCACGTAGTTAGAATAATAATGTATATGTATCTCGAGTTGAGCTTGATGTCTCATTAGAGACAAAACATGTCTCTCAGGTGTAATGTATATAATGTACTGAACATTTACTGTTTAATCAAGTCAGAGCCTGTCTTTGCCTAAGATGTTGTGGGAGTTATCCTTCCCCACATGGTATCAGTGGCTCAACTAATACCAATAAGGAGATTGGTGGAACCCAGGAAATCACAGATGGTAGGAGCAACATTCACAAAATCCAGGTACACAGCATTACAGCCGGGAAGGTGCCATACTCTCAAGGCGTACAGGTTAGACAACTCAGCAGCACCTTTTCTAGCCATTAATTTCTGCAGTGGGACTTGTTGCCAGAGTTTCTGGCTCTTAATCAAAGAACTAACTACAAGAGGTTGTTGGCTTGCTCACGGAGCTGGCTGATCATTGTGCAGACGCTTCATCACCATGCTAGATGACATCATCAGTGCAGCCTCCGATGAAGCAATGTTGTTCTACTCAACTCGGTATTTATATGATCTGGTCTGTTAAGTTGGGTTGTCTTATTTCCGGTTCTGTTCTACATGGGTTTGTATATGAGGTCTAATTCCGCATGTTTGTTGATTGCATTGTAGGTCGAAAACCGGGCCACTGGGAATTCCTGTGCGTGTCTGTGTTTGTCTTGAGCTAGGATGGTCACATTGTACCAGTTACATTGATGGCCTTCATGATCAGGATATACGAACACCAGCTAGCAGCAAGAAGACACAATGAACTTTCCCTCATCTCAGTGCACTCAGACAATGAAGGCCATCAATTTGACCATCCTAGCTCAACCACAGAGACGCACGGGAATTCCTAGGGGCCTGGTTTTCAACCCAAAAAGCAATCAACAAACATATAGAATTGGACCCCATAGACAAAGCCACACAGATCAAAACCAGAAATGGCACTACTCACCATAGCAGACCGGACAGTATAAATTCCAGGTGGAGTAGAATAACATTGCTTCATCAGAGGTCTCACTGATGATGTTACCTAGCATGGTGATGGACAAGCCAACAACCTCATCCAAACCAGAGCTACAAATCTTCGCAAGAACCTTTTACCACAGGAGCTCTATTGCCTGGGTTAGTGACAGCAATGTGGTGGTTGCATCTTGTAAAGCTGCTACCTGGTGAGGGAGGAAGTCCACAGAAGAAATCCTTTGGAAAGTTAAAGAGATATGTTAAAAACTGTCTAGTTCAGTGATACTCCCAAATAAGGTGTATCAGTCAGCTTACCAAAAGCAAAAAACCATCCATATAGTTTAAAGCTAAGTCCCCTGACACAGACTTGTTAAAACTCTAACATACAAAAACCCAACAGCAGGGATATTACCATCAATCATGTATCAATTCTAAAGTTTTTCTCATGTTTGTACATCCAGTGATCTATTATTGCTGACAAGACATGAGTAAAGTCGTGGCTGAATTGTATTTATTATTTTTTTAAAACTTACATTTACATTGTACCTTGAACTGATACCACTTTTTTTCTCTTTATTCATTCATGGGATGAGAGCATCACTGGTTAGGCAGCATTTATTGCCCATCCCTAATTGCCCAGAGGGCAATTGAGAGTCAACCACATTGCTGTGGGCCTGGAGTTACATGTAAGCCAGACCAGGTGAGGATGGCAGATTTCCTCCCTTGAAGGACATTAGTGAACCAGATGGGTTTTTCTGACAATCAACAATGGATTCATGGTCATCGCTAGACCCATAATGCCAGATTTTGTTTTGTGTTGAATTCAAATTCCACCATCTGCCATGACAAGATTTGAACTGCCAGTTCCAATAAGCTTATCTGGGTCTCTGGATTAACAGACTGGCGATAATACCATTCCATTCCCTTGCTACCAATCAAGTACTTCTTAAAGTGTATTCAGTGTTGCAACGTAGAAGATTGATGGCCTATTTACTCATGTTTGGATATTATTGGGACTGAAACACGTTGTATAGATCCCACCTCCAATTGCTGGGGGGTTCATTCTGAGAGAGGTCTTCATCAATTTGGAAACCTTAATAATAGGGAGTAAATGTACAGTTGAGATCATCACATCACACATATCCACCCAATTCTAAGCTGAAAATCCTCTATACAGACATGCATTTATGTAGCGCCCATCATGAAGTCTCAAGGTGCTTCACAACCAATGGCTACAAGAGCAGGACATAGGCTAGGAATCCTGTAGCGAGTAACTCATCTCCACTCTGCCCAATGCCTGTACACCATTTAAAAGACACAATTCAGGAGTCTGATGAAATATTCTCCATTTACTTCAATTGGTGCAGCCCCAACAACAACACTCAAGAAGTTTGATATCATCAAGGACAAAGCAGCCTGCTTTCTTGATAACCCCATCCACCACCTTCAAAATCCTCTCCTTCTGCCACTGACACAGGGGCAGCAGTGTGTAGCATCTACAGCGTGCACTGAAACAACTTGTCAAGGTTCCTTAAGAAGCATCTTCCAAACCCGCGACCTCTAAAATCTGGGAGGACAAAGGCAGCATATTCATAGGAACACCATCACCTGCAAGTCACACCAGCCTGATGTGGAAAAATATCATTGTTCCTTCACAATCACTGGGTAAAAATTCTGCAACTTCCTTCCTAACAGCACTGTTCCACCCTAGGTGAGTGTGTACCTGGATAATATGGACCGCAATGGTTTAAGAAGGCAGCTCAACATCACCTTCTTAAGGACAGATACGAAGGGGCATTATGTGCAGGCTCAGCCAGCAATGCCCACGTCCTGTAAAAGGTAGAAGGATTTCAGCTAACCTAAAAAGCCAAGAATATTGAAATCAACCATGCAACTATCAATGTTCTACCATCTATTCTTGACAAACCTCCCATAGAAGTGATCCTTAAGTCTTTTTGGACTTGCATCTCATTTCTAAAGTGTGTAGAAGGGGAGTTTTCTGTTATTTATTATGACAAGTCTCTGGATGAGGTTCTCAAGTTATTACATTTCTGAACAGATAACCCAAGTTGTAAAACTACTGGGAAGCTCCCCTTCTTCATTTGCCTTGCCTCTCAGTTAAAAATCCCTCCCTTTTGGGTATCATTCTCCCATACCGAATGAGCTTATGTTTTAAAAAAAGCCGATTTAACCAGGCATTTTTGAGCTAACTAAAAAGTGAGATTATTAGTTACTAAATGCAAGAAGAAATAATAACACAACATACACACAAATTAGAAACAAGAGGCAAGTCCAAAAAGATGCAAGGATTGATCCCTGTGGGTGGTTTGTCTTTATTCAATTTTTTTTCCCCCTTTATTCATTTAACAGGATGAGGTTGTTGCTGGCAAGACAGCATTTATTGCCCATCTCTAATTACCCAGAGGGCAGCTTAGAGTCAACCACATTGCTGTGGGTCTGGAGTGACATGTAGGCCAGCCTGGGTAAAGATGGCAGTTTCCTTCTCTAAAGAACATTAGTGGGCCAGATGGGTTTTCCCAACAATTGATTCACAGTCATCATTAGATTCTTAATTCCAGATACTTTATTGAATTTAAATTCCACCATCTGCCATAGCTGGATTTGAACCCAGGTCCCCAGAATGTTATCTGGGTCTCTGGATTAACAGTCCAGTGATAATACCACTAGGCCATTGCCTCCCCAGTTGGAACATTGTGGAACATTGATTGTTGAACAGTTGATTTCAATATTCTTGGCTTTGTAGGTGAGCTCAAATCCTTATGTACTGTTTCCTTTTGACAGTGATTGGTATGCAGCATTCACAGCAAGAAAATCCTCCTTTTCTCCTATTTCCTTTTGACTGGTTTGCTGGCTTCCAGCACTTACAGTGAGAAGTTAATTTATCTGCAATGCAGGGGTGTCCAGTGGTTGGTTCTTTTCGACTGTTACCGTCATATCTCACTAGCGCTCCAACCTAGTCTAATACATACGAATACCTCAGCCCAATAGCATAATGTATAAACACTTCAACTCTCTAGCACACCCAGATCAGGGTTGAACTGGCTGTTAACCCTGTTTTTGTCTACCCTTGAATGGGGAAGTCACAAACCAAGTCTCTCACGCAGGCCGCTGTCTTTTCTCCAATCTTGCTGACAGTCTGAGATAAGTTCCAGAAATTTACAGTTCAGTCTGTGATGCAATTTCCCCCTTTTTAACACCCATCCCTTTGAAGATTCCCATCAGATGTGACATTCCACGATCTCTCTCTCCACTCGCTGAGTTAAAACCTGCATCATTTTTAGCTGTATGCCCTTCAAGAAAACATGTTACAATTAAAAGTTCAAGTGTAAACACCTTGGGGTTCATCTGTCATCATGACATAACATAGGAGATTCAGCATTTACTTTGGGTACAGCAAAGTCCTATAAAATGGCAATGCAATAATGGCCAGATATATGTGATATAATGACGTTATTTGAGAAATGAATATTGGTCAGGATATCAGGCAGAGTTTCTCTGCACTTCATGTCCCTAAGAGAGTTGATAAGAGAGAGGGAACCTCTGTTCATACCCATAATATGATGTTTCAACAATGAAAAACTTCCTCAGTATTGGAGTGTCTTTCTTTGGAGTGAGATATAAACCCACATTTTCGGAATCAGAGGAGTGTGCTTCACCATTGAGTCAAGGCTGACATATTGGGCTTTACATAAACTTTTATCAACATTACAGACGGTTTTACCACAAAATGCCAGTTACACATTCTTCACTTCCTGAAAGTTTTAAGTTTATTTGAGATCCATGTTTTTGCCCAGTGCAGGGAAGAATCATTAAAGTGTACTTTCACACTGATGATGGTGTAAGGTGTCTCTTTAGTCATAGAATCCCTACAGTGTGGAAACAGGCCCTTCAGCCCAACAAGTCCACAGCGAACCTCAGAGCATCCCAACCAGACCCATCCCCCTATAACCCACCTAATCTATACATCCCTGAACACTATGGGCAATTTAGTATAGCCAATCCACCTAACCTGCACATCTTTGGACTGTAGGAGGAAACCCACGCAGACACAGGGAGAACGTGCAAATTCCACACAGACAGTGGCCCGAGGGTGGAATTGAACCTGGGTCCCTAGTGCTGTGAGGTAGTAGTGCTATCCACTGAGCCACCATGCCACCCTAGCTTGGGTAAAGTGCCAGGAAAGGGGAGAGGACAGACCCACATAGTTTTATTAGAGTAGCATTACTCATGCAGACCATGGGAGAGAGACAGAGCTGGCAAACTCAAGTGTATAAGTAACTGTGCCTCAGTGAGAAGTATTCTCGCCTCCCTCAGAATGTCATACCCACACCAAAGACCTGAACACATAAACATACCTAACAATTTAACACAATACCGAGGAAGACATTAAGATTCCACTATTCAAATAGAACAGTAAGGTGAGTTCTCCTCGGAGTTCTGGTCAATACTTACTCCCCTTCATTATTTGGCAAATAGAGTACAATGTGGGAAAGCATGAAATTGACAGAATTTTGACTGAAAATATAACAAAGCATATGATCTAAGTGGTGGGAGCTTGCAGAGCTCTGAGATGCAGAGAGCTCTGGGTGTCCTGGTGTATGAATTGCAGAAGGTTTGTGTGCAGGTGCAGCCAGTAATCAGGAAAGTTAATGGAATGTTGTGTTTTGTTGTGAGAGGAATCGAGTACAAGAGTAGGGAGGTTATGCTTCAGTGGGCACTGGGGAGACTACACATGGAGTACTGTGTGCAGTACTGGTCACCGTACTTAATGTTAATACATTGGAAGCAGTTCAGTGAAGGTGTATTAAATATTATAACAGGGCACTCGGATAAGTTTAATGTAATTGGGCAGGTAGTTCTGTTGAAGGGTTACTGGACTCAAAATATTAACTCTGCTTTCTCTCTACAGATGATGCCTGCTGAGTTTCTCCAGCAATTTCTGTTTTTGTTTACTACACTAATACCTGGAATGAGCAGACTGCCTTATAACAAAGGGCTGGACAGGTTAGGCCTATATCCTCTGGAGTTCAGAAGTGTCAGAGGTGACTGAGTTGAAACCTGCAAGACCAGGTGGATGTAGGAAGAATGGTTCTTTTTGAGGGAGAATCTACAACTAGCAGTCATAGTTCAAAAATAAGGGGATACTCATTTAAGACAGAGATGAAGAAACATTATTTTCTCTGCAGTGTTCCCCCTAATTTTCTTACCAGCCGTGTAGGCCTCCAAGTCCCGTGCACAGGAACAACTTCCCAAACCAGATGTCACTGCCGTGATCAATGTGCCAATGCTGATTACCGTAGACGGACAATTGGAGCGTCTGGTTTGTCGAGAGCCTTTGGAATTCTCTTCCTCAAAAGGCAGTGGATGCAGAATCTTCAAATATTTTTAAGGCATAGATTGTTAGATCCTTAATTACCAAGGGGCTGAAACATTATTGGGGGTTTGCAGGAATGTAGAGTTGAGATTAAGATCAGATCAGCTATGAGTTTATTGAATGACAGAACAGGCTCGAAGGACCAAACGGCATAACCTTGCTCATATATTTGCATGTATCATCATGTAAGTAATAAAGAAAACGATGGGACTAAAGATAGAAAGTCTGAATAATGCAAATAGGGGAAGTAGCGAAGGCACTGTAGGAAATTAACTGACTACAGCATAGCTGAAAGTTGATGAGGGCCATCCCATTGAGGAGTACAACATCAGGAAGGTCACTGGAAAACATTGGAATGGGCCAGCGATGCTGTAAGATTGTGGTGGATATAGAGGGATAATGCACCATGGTCACCCCACACACACAGTGGCTAACTTCAACTTGGCTGGTCTTTGAGTCATGAGGTGGTCTGGGCTGAAAGTGGCCTGGAAGGGTTCACACAGGGATCTGAACACAGGTCAGGAGCTGACAGTGCTTTCAAGAACCATGGCACAGGAGAAGCAGTCTTCTGTCAACAAGTACGGTCAGCCTTTCACGAGAAAGAATGGTGGTAACCACATGCAACACAAAGTGAACCTAAACTTGGATTAGCCCACGACAGAGAAAAAAAAATTCCAGTTATCACAATGCCTATGTCCAGTCCTTGTCATTCAATTACAGCAAGGATCAGATGGCAAAGCTTCAAATAGGTTTGGCACTGACCTTTCTATCTAAACATAACAGGCTATAGAAACCTTACGAAAAGGAGGATTCCTTTCCAAGTAAATGGCTGGACTTTACACCTTTTCCACTGGCGGCTCATTGTTCCTTCTATTTCTAGTTCCACTTGTCCCCAGGTGGACAGCTACTGGCATGCCCTATCAAAGAGAATCTGAGATACCCTTCAGCCAATTGTCCCTCAGCCCCCAATCTATGAGTTCTGCACACATCTAAAACACACTGATGAAACACAACAGTGATTATAGCAGCAGTAGTTTGTGGTGGAAGGTCCCTCTTACCTGTAGTGACTGCAATGATGTAAGATTGCTGTCACAGCAGAGCACCACGTTGTTCGTCATACTGAAACTCTCCCGTACCCCAAGATGATAAAAGAGTGAAGGTTGACAGTAAGGGTCAGTCATCTCCACCACTGCGACATCTGGAGACAACACAAAACATGGAGTGCTTAGTAAATCAGATGAGCATTGCACCAAGGCTAAATTACATTCCTTTCAGTTAAAGGATACATACCTGCCCATTGTTTACCCTCATTTTGTTGCTTCCTCAACTTTTGACCTCCCAATCACCCACACTCCAGTCACTTCAAGCTCTGAAGAATGACCTACTGCTAAGATCCCATCATTATTAATTTATTAATACGTTTGTTAACTAACCGATGACCATGAACGATGACTTTTGAGAAAAAACAACATATAAAAGATCTGTTTAATGGCAGGGGATCAGCTTAATCATAAAAGTCAACTTTTATAATTCTTAGAACTAAAGGATCAAAGAGTACAAGGAGAAACCAAGAACAAGGTACTAAGTTGGATGAACAGCTTATGATCATACGGAATGGTGGAGCAGGCTCGAAGGGCTGAATGGCCACTCCTACCCCTATATTCTATGTTTCTAGGTTCAATCATCTTTAGTCAAGACAAGAAAGTTAAAGATTGGAACAGTTACACTGATAGAAAGGAATTATTTAAGGAGCAGGAGAGTTGACGTTTCGGGTTTACACCCTTCATCAGTCCTGATGACCTGCTGTGTTCCTCCAGTTCCACACTGTGTTGACTCTGACTCCACCATCTGCAGTTCTTGCTATCTCCAAAAGGAATTCTTAGCTTGAAAAGGCAGAGGACTGTTATACAGTGATATTATTTACAAAAGGTTAGGAACTAATTGTTATGTAAATATAAATCCCAAGGTGCCACATTCACAGTTGTACCGCAGTCATGTGCTAAGTAGCAATGTGTCAGTCCACCAATCACATGGAGAGCTGTAAGGAATTCATTCCATCCAACATTTTGAGTTTAAAAGACTTAATATTTCTAAATTAATGGGAACCAGAAGACAAAAAATTGATCAAAATGAGTTCAACAGACCACAGCAAATCAGCCGAATCTATTACTCCACATCACATCGACCTCATGTATACAATGATACCAGCCCATCAGAAACCGGTCCTTTTACAATCTTCACTATCAGGTCTGAGCTTAATGCTGTCCTCATTTGTCATCCTCAACTCCTCACACAGATGGGACAGATATATTTTTCCAGCAATGGTGGGGAGGGTTGGGGGGTTAGGATTTTATTAACAGTCACAAGCTGAAAGCCAACTTGTTTCTCGAGCTTGGTCATGGGCAGAGTTTAACTGTGGCCACAGGTCGAGCTAAATGGGTCATTAGCTGTCTTCCTCCCCTAAGACACAGCTGCGTCTGTGTGATATCTACATTATCTCCACCAAACACCCTAGACTCTTACTTCAACACTCTCAATGAGCAGTAATGTAGTTCCTTCCCTGTCACCACAATATCCTACTGGTTTCCTTTCCTGGTATAATTGTAATGTGTCCATGTTACTGGTAGAATAAACAAAATAATTTATACAGAGATGTTCCCAAGATTTCACAGCAAGACAGTACTTCTTGAAATGTATCAGAGATAGTAGGAACTGCAGATGCTGGAGAATCTGAGATAACAAGGTGTAGAGCTGGATGAACACAGCAGGCCAAAAATTTTTCTGAAGAAGGGTCTAGGCCCGAAACGTCAGCCTTCCTGCTCCTCTGATGCTACTTGGCCTGCTGTGTTCATCCAGCTCTACACCTTGTTACTTCTTGAAATGTAGTTTGCTGCATCAGGTCATCGTTCTGAAAGAGTTTTAATGTTGGAGACTGCATTAAGCTCCACCCAGTCTGACTATGACATAAGCATTTGGCTGGGAAAAAGTAGCATGCCAAGGACCTACATCAGGTCTCCAAACAGTCTTAGTAACAACATCAGATCTTATAAGGGTAACTTGTACTGAGTTGTTATTATGCAATAATCTACATTGTTTTGAAGACAAGAGCCCCTTCTCATTAAAACTCATGTGGTGGCAGAAGAATACCAGACAACAAGCAGGTAGTGTTTGGCATGGCCCCATTTGCCTGAATGGGTGCAGCTCCAACACTCAAGAAGCTTGACACCATCCAGGACGAAGCAGTCCGCTTGATTGGCACTACATCCACAAATATCCACTTCCTCCACCACTGATGCTCAGTAGCAGCAGTGTGTACTATCTACAAGATGCACTGCAGAAATTCACCAAAGATCCTCAGACAGCACGACCACTTCCAAATGCACGACCACTTCCATTTAGAAAGACAAGGACAGCAGATATATAGGAACACCATCTCCTGCAAGTTCCTGTCCAAGCCACTCACCATCCTGACTTGGCCATTCCTTCACTGGGTCGAAATCCTGGAACTCCCTCCCTAATGGCATTTTGGGTCAACCTACAGCACGTAGACTGCTGTGGTTGAAGAATGCAGCTGACCACCACCTTCTCAAGGGCTACAGGGGGCAGGTAATAAATGTTAATCCAACCAGCAATACCCATGTCCCACAAGTAAATGATAAAAAATCACATGACATACAGCACAATCACTACATAATGTTGGAAACAAGTCTTCAATATTGTACACAGCAAGATTCCACAAGCCACATTACAATAATGACCAGGTAACCTTTTTTCAATGGTGATACATTGATGGAAGGTTTGCATGTTGGCCTCAACATCATGGGAAACATCTCTGCTCTTCTTGATAAGGAACAACACACTTGAGGGAGCAAGCAGGGGCCTCCGTTTAAATTAGCTTCCAGAGCACGGCACCTCCAAAACTGTAGCTCTCAGTCCTTCAGTGCTGCACTCAAGTAGCAACAAAGATTTGGTACTCAAGTTTTAGGAATGAGATTTGAACCAATGACCTCAACAGAATGAATATTCAGCATTCCACAAGGAAACACGAACCTGGATTATCCTACGGATCCATTGTTGTATTAAATGAGTAGCTGAGAAATATTTCAGGACAAGCCCTCAGGATTTCCGGCACTTAAACCATATCTTTATTCCCTGTTCTCCTATTTCTTTGCAGAAGCAGAATCACTTTGTTCCTTGTTGGCCATGAAATAACCAGCACTGAGCCACCTACAACAACATACACAGCACACCCAACATTAAAGTTACAATGGAAATTAAATAAGTACATTTAAAAATGTATTTCAAAGTAACCCCATTGGTTGTCCATCAAATGCTGGCCTACTGTCAGTACATTTATCTTGGGAACAGGTCTGGCTCAGTACAGGTACTGGTACAACAGGTGCACATTGAAGATTTGCATCGCCTGTAAAGTATATTTTACAACATGTTCAATTATATTCTGGGCACAGTTTAAGAGGATAGCACACCAATCTCTGGAGGTTGTGGATTCATGTTCCACTTCAGAAACCTGAACACATAGCTTTGCTGACGGCGAAGTGTTGAGGGAGTTCTGCGCTGCTGCAGGCACCGTCTTTCAGGTGAGATGTTAAACCAAGGCATCAGCTGTATCGGGAGCACACTGGCAGAGGAGGGGCTGGGGTTACATGTAATAGATCTTCACTGTTTTGAAGAACAGTATGCAGGTACACGGCTGTACAATATTTATCACTCAAACATCAGTTAATCCCTCCTGAAGCCAGATGGTGAAACAGGAAACCTATTTTTTACATTTGACTTTATTTTCAGAATCCAGCTTGACATGCACCTCCTCTCAAAGCAACACTCAGGGTCCTAGCAGTCTTTCCCTATATGTACTCAAGGTACTTAATCATCGCAGGCCCTTCAGCTTTGAATCCTTAAGACTGGAAGTGCAAATAACTTCTCACTAATACAATTGGTGTCTTACTGCTGTTTGGGGGAACTTGCTGAGCAAACTCTTGCTTCCACCTTACTACGTTAAACATGGGCACCACCTTAAATACATTTAATTAGTTAAAGAGGGCTTTGGAACACACTGAGTTCATAAAGAATGCTGTTTAAATAAGCTGCCTTCTTTCTTCAGAAAATCAGGCAAAGGGAGGGTTACTCTGAAATTAAAACCTTCAATTACAAACAGTACGATTTGACCTGGCTTACGTACTAAAATGAAGGAAGTATGTAATATCAAGGAAAGATTACTGTGATTCTGATTGAAGAAATCGTTCCTGATTCACACTCAGCCACGACTCTGAAATAGAGAGAGGTAGATTCACATCACCCAGTCTGTATAAATCATTAGATCTTGGTGTGTAGGGATATTTCAAATTATGTGGGTAACACAGAAGTTGGGAGAGCTCTAAAATGAGGAGGACTTTTAAATGTTGTAATTGTACCAGCCTCCACCACCTCTTCTGGCAGCTCATTCCATGCATGCAGCACCCTCTGTGCGAAACGTTTGCCCCTTAGGTCCATTTTAAATCTTTCCCCTCTCACCCTAAACCTATGGCCTCTAGTTTTGGACTCCTACCCTGAGGAAAAGACCTTGCCTATTCACCCTATCTATGTCCCTCATGATTTTATAAATTGCTATAAGATCACCCCTCAGCCTCCAATGCTCCGGGGACAATAGACCCAGCCTGCTCAGCCTATCCCGATAGCTCAAACTCTCTAACCCTGGCAACACCTTTGTAAATCTTATCTGAGTCATTTCAAGTTTCACAACATCTTTCTTGTGCCAGGGAGATCAGAATTGCACGCAGTATTCCAAAAGTGGCCTGACCAATGTCCTGTACAGCCATAACATGACCTCCCAACTCCTATCCTCAATGCACTGACCAATAAAGGCAAGCATACCAAACGCCTTCTTCAGTACCTTGTCTACCTGCAACTCCACTTTCAAGGAAATATGAACCTGCACCCTAAAGTCTCTTTATTCAGCAACACTCCCCAGGACCTTACCATTAAGTGTGTAAGTCCTGCCCTGATTTGCCTTTCCAAAATGCAGCTCCTCACATTGATCTAAATTAAAGTCCATCTGCCACTCCCCATCCCACGTGCACATCTGATCGAAGTCCCATTGTACTCTGAGGTAACCTTCTTCGCTGTCCACTACACCTCCAATCTTGGTGTCATCTGCAAACTTACTAACAATATCTCTCA